TGAAAAATATAAAATACGATCAAATACATGGATGTAAAATCTGAGTAGAACATGTGTGAATAATCATGCCTGTCAGTTTCCGAGAATTTCACGGAAAGCTTTTTAGACATAAAGAATACAGTAAAAATCTCTCACATTGGATTAATTTACACCATTACAAACATGTGCAGCGATTCCCACACATGTAATTAAAATTCCCACATAAAAGCAGCTAAACATCTTGGACTTTTCCTTTGTGGTCTGTTCAAAAAAATAAATTGGGCTTTGTATCAATAAAGAGAATATGACCACAGTTAAACAAATAATTACTGAGCAGCAGCATCTAATTTGTGCATTTATGTTTAATAAAACATAACCGCATGCGCATATGCGCACACCCACATTCTCTGGGGTTTCACGCTGACACTAGACTAATAAATCTGGTCAAGTCATCACGTCTTGCTTCAAATAGCTTGTACGTGACATGGGCGTGAAGGGAAGGAGAAAAAAAGAAGGAAAAGCAAGCAGGAGATACACACAGCTGCATTCCAAAGGAATGCTAAAGTTACATACTTTAAGGACAACCGAGTATGAATTTTACGATCTTATAGAATAGCAAAGTGTCCACTGGTTGCATATTTAAGAATTTCGGCATAACAAGTACACTGTCTGCATACTGTGCATCAGGGATTTATGCATATAAGTAGAGTGAAACAATGACTGCCCACTTCTTCAGCAGTCATTGGTTCAGGAAGTATTTTTCATGTTAATGTCCTCCATAGGGATTCTAAAAAAGCCATAAACCAAACCAAACAACCATAAGATGAGTAAAAATGTATTTGAACATTGGAAAAAGCAAAGCTAGACAATGAACTTGACAATGAACTAAGCAGACCATGATGTAATCAAATACAAAAACAATGATGCAATATAAAACTATTAATGTATCATGTAAAACTATCTATGTAGATTTATTACAGGTATAAAAACAAAATGAAAAATAGTCAAATAAATTTGAGTTGTTTGAAACTGTAAGAAGGCTATTAAAACTGTATTAAAAATTGAAATAATGTTGACTGACAAATTCAACTGAAGCATATACCATTGATTTAATAACTTGCAAAGCTCATGGTAGGTCCATTTTGAGATTTTATACATTGTTTTTAAAAACCTGTTTGTGTGGAGAAAGTGAATGGGATGTTTAGTTCCAGAACCCCACTGTTGCACTCTATTTAGATGCAGGGAACGTTTTACCTAAGTTAGACACTATGTGCAAAAACATTGTTATTTACAGATTGGATGGTGTGTGAATACTGGTGACAATGAAATGCCTTGAGCTCTGGTAGTTTTGCTGATATGGTGTGTGACTCTGTTGCATTATGACGAGAAGTATAGGAAGGTTTTTTTTTTTTTTAAGTCCCTTAAATACCATGAATAGCACATTTGATACTATCATTATGACATAATTATTTGATACTACAGTAAAAATATGTGTGTGTGTGTGTGTGTGTGTGTGTTTACAGAAAAAAAAAACAGTTTATTGAACCTTTAGACGAAAAAAATTAATTAATTAATTAATTAATTGACTGTAATGCAAATCAATGAGAACTTTTTTTTAACAATATAGCAAATTACTTACATAAAATGCATATAAATATCAGTTGTCACTCTATATCTTCCAGAAACAGACAACAGAAGGTGTGTAGTATGTTGTGTTCAACAGGGGTTTCAGCAGATTTTTTATCATTTTGATAATTTAGAGTCCTTAGAAATTAAATATGATACAGTAGGATGTATAGGGTTAAAGCACATGGTTTAATTATCTGATGCCATTTTTCAAGTGTAGTTTTGATGCAATATTTAGGATTCATTGATTCAGTATATTATCTATTCATCTATCCATGTGTGTCTTTAGTTTATTTATTGTAAATAGATATAATTGATATAAATCATGACAGTCTTTCAATTTAATTTCATTACTCACTTCCCGATTACCCACAAATGTTAGCTTTGTTCTAGTGTGCAAAGCCTCTTCCTGAATTGAATCCTTCTTGGACAAAAAGAGCAGAAGGAGAATGATAATGACAAACAGGAAATTGGGTCTGGGTAAAGGAAGTGTGGGGGTTTGTGCATATGTGCACTTGTGTGCTATAAATTATATCCAAAATGACAGGATGTGCACAAACACATATTGAAATGTGAGTGATAGCTTCCCACTGGGGAAAAAAGACGTTTCCAGAGTGCTTTGCCACTTCCTGTCTCCCTCAGAATGCTGAATCATGGGTAATAAGGGGTGTCTGACAAACCAGCAGCGGAAAGCTATGAGCCCAGTGTGCCTTGCAGACCAAATATGTGTTATTATGAGCTGACAAGATTCTCACTGAGTATATATGTTCTCTATTTATGGCATACTAGTGCACTAAGTATGTGTTTTCAGGAGCTGCTTGGTTCCTATAGTGTCTCACTGCAATTGTGTAGTGATCATATCATTTTGTTCTACTCTATTTGAGGTTCAGTATCTTTGTTCTGACCTTTAAAAAAGGTACTATATTATAGTTGTGATACTGGATGGTAATACAACAGTACTTGGATTTAATCCATGTTTAAACCATTGAAAGAACTCTACTGAATAATTACCATATTCATGCATTTACCACAAAGAATACAATAGAATTGCCATGATACATGGAAATACCATGGTACTTTTTTAGTGCAGATGACTGATATATGAAATGCAGTTTTTAGTGATTTTGAAAGAAGCTTCTTTTGCTAACCAAGGCTGCATTTATTTGATAAAAAATACAATAAAAAACTTTTAAGTAGAATTTAAAATAACTTTTCCATTTCAATTTATTTATATTTTAAAATATAATTTATTTCTGTGATGGCAAAGCTGAATTACATCAGTGTCACATGATCCTTCAGAAATCATTCTAATATGCTGTTTTGCTGCTCAAAAAAATGTATAATAATTGATCCCCAAATCAGCATATCAGGAAGGATTTCTGAAGGATCGTTTATATATTATTACATAATACTTCAGTGTGACCAATTAGACAAAGTTTTCCAGAGAACTTTCTAATTATAAATATAACAAGTGTAAATAGAATATTAACACTTTTTTTGTCCTAAAAAAAAAAATGACAGGTGTTTGTCTGTGAGTCACAGTGAGGGAGAGAAAGAAATAACTAAGGAAGGGCTTACGACCCTCAGAGAGCTGAGAAAAAAACATGTTGTGCTGTTTCTCTTTCTTACACCTCCTCATCATTTCTTGCTCTCTCTCCGTGTCTGTCGCCCTCATTCATAATGGATGCCGTAGTGTTGAGGTTCAGCTGAGGATCACTCTAAAAAAAAATGGTGCTATATAGCACTAAAAGCGGTTCTTTGTGGAATGTTTTGGCCCTGTGGGGGCACGATGCTTTCACTAAGGGGAGAGAAAAGAGAGAAGACTTTTGATTTAGACTGATGACGCAACTACACTCACGAAACACAGAAGCCAGTCAATCCAAGTTTATCATTCTTCTCATTACATGCCAGTTTGAGAAAAAGAATGAAATTTTGTAATAAAAAAGACCAAAACAGAAACATATTCATCAGTGGCCTCAAACTTTTAGTTGTATTTAAGAAATACTGATGTCAAATTATGGCATGGGCTTAGTATACTTATTCATACACTGCATTCTTTTTCATACAATATGAAAAAGTTCTCAGTCAAATTGTAGCCCAACCTGGAATGCTAATTTATCAAGCATTCCTTTGATTCATCATTGTATGCACATAAAAGTGAATATATTTAATTTAATCCCCCAGGGTGCCACCATGTTCACGATCTTCATCTGTCAGAGTTTCCTTATGAGTTTATAAATGGAAATTTCCGACATCATGTGCTGTTCTGTTGCACATTTCCAAGTATGACAGTAAAAGTATGACTGTCATTTATATTATGGAAAAAAATAGTTAAAGTAAAGTAAAGTACCATATCTGCCACCATAGTGTGCAACAGTTGGGTTTTTGAAGTAAAAATTACAGTTTATTTTCTCGAAGAAGTCATTGATTTTTAACAATGACTTAAACAGTAACCTTTAAATACAGACCTACCGTGAAGCCATCAGTCTGCAACTTTCAACTTACTTTTTAAATAATCATATTTAACAGCAGAATTCCTGGTGAAAAACTACATTACCCATGATTTTTGTACCTTTGTCTTTTTGTCTGATTTTCAAACACTTTTTAATATTTGCTGCAAATCAAAGTTTGTAATATTGTGTTTTATCTTGTAGCTGGTTGGTTTGTTTCACAGCTTGTAACATTTTAGAAAAGATGTTTTCAAATCCCTATGGAAAAACACTTCCGGAACCAAGGCTGCTTTTTTCTACTTCAGAATTTCACTTTTAATTCACTGTGTTAGTTGCAGTTTCTTTGTAATTACTTGTGAAATTCACTAACAATTTCTGAGGGAAAATTGTAGTAAATTGCTTCCTATATCCTACACCAATTTTTTTATCAGTGTAGTAGCCAGACGTTCTTTGAAAGGTCACCAAATGTGACTGACCACTATATATCATTATTGTAGGCTTAGCATAGTGAATTGAGATAGCAACCATGGAATGCTCAATAATCGAATTTTGTTTATTTTTACCCTAAATAACCTATATAGTGCATCTTTAAACACAGACCTTATTTTATATGTAAATTGAAAAGCACCATCCTAAAATCCCATAATAAATCCAGAGGGAACCCATAAGTTAAATACTAATTCTCTTCCAAGTTTTAGGACTACAAATTCTATTGAGTTAATGGCCTTTATCTCCCCATCTGTTCATGCTGGTCCTAATTCTTTAGCTTATAATTCCACCTTTAACTGTTGGTCATTTGAACTTCTTGTGTACCTCCAGTACACACACACACACACACACACACAGAGAGAGAGAGAGAGAGAGAGAGCTCAGCTGCATCACATATTGTGTCACTGTTACTTCATTGCAATACTAATGGGAGCTTTTTTTTGTTGCTTGTCTCAGGGAGGCAACTAAAAAGTGTGCTCAACAAACTGGAACACTACCACACCATGGTACCGCTACTGCTGGAAGGAACAGAGCAGAGACCAATCGGCTGGCTCCGCTCCAGAGTAAGAAAGAACACTGTATATTGTTGCTGCATCATTTTTCACATATTTTCCTAAACCTCTAGAAAGTAATTTTCCCTTCCATCATGATGTCTCGTTGCTGGTGTTTATATTTTTTATATGAATTTTTTATTTTAAATAGCACTGAGTAGCATATACTCTTTTCAGATGGATAATATATTGAGTCCAGTGCAAGTTCACTTCAGTTCGAAATGGTATAACATAGGACTACGGTACAAATTAGTTCACAATGTATGACTACCATAGTCAGTGTCATTATTGAGCCACAGCCTTTTAGCTCTAAAAGGGTCATTTGTGAAAATGAGTGAAAGGCCTGACTGCCAAACGGCACCAGAGGCACAGAGGCTGAGTGATGAGGTGATGAATGTTGAAAAGTGTTTTGGAGTACATTAGATTAGATTAACTGCCTGAAGTCGTAGCGACATTGTCGCAAAAAGTCACGGGGCCTTTGTCATTAAGGCTTAATTGATTCCAGTCTCCACAGTTACTCTCGAGTTACTCGAGCTCCAGTGAATATTACAGTCAAACGTCTTCAGTAGCTCAGAGCAATGTCTGACTCTGGCACATGGCTCTTAGAGGCCATTTCACTGCCCATTTTACAGTGAATTCATGTGTGCTTGGAGGCTTAGGCATTGGAAACTCAACTCCCAGAGCTTTTCATAACTGTCTGAAATGTTGGAAATGTCTTTAATGCATTGTTAGGGAAAAGTTTTGTATGTCATGAAAATGCATGCTAGAGAATGGTTGGCTTTGCTTTGCTTTGCTTTTCAAGGTAATTGCGATTAAACATTTGCAGGTGGAGATTGAGGCTGTGGTGAGGGTAGCGTATTTCAGGCAGGAAATTCCACTCAGAATAAAGGACTTGTCGGCCTGCGCCACGAGAGGCCTGACTGATGGCCCAAAGCCATATCACTACAGCTGGAGTGAGGGAGGAAGATATGCTCTATCAGCTGTTTAGCAAGGAAAAGTAGATGGTCATTCTATTATAATAAAGGGAAAGTTGAAGAGTTATTCAGAAATATTTCAGGATCTGTGTGCACACATGCATTTTTTAAAGAGTCATATGGGTTTCTGAAAAATATATTTTTTGCAGTTTGTAACGTAGCTATCCTTCAATGTAAACAGTCTGCAAAGTTGTTAATCAAAAAAGTGCATGATAAATAAAGATATTGTCTCTCAAAGAAAGAGTAGACTCTGAACCGCCTTAACGAGTCGTCATATTTTCGAATCCTCTGCCTGTTACCTATATATGTTACAAGGTAACACATTTGCAGGCTTGTGGAAGGGAGGGGTTTACAGACCTTAAATGTGGGCTAAGCGATTTTTCAAAAACGCTTTAGAAAACTGATTCGGGCCGACTAGCAAAACAAACTTGGAGCCAATCAGCAGTAAGGGGCGTGTCTACTCATGATGTGGAGGAGAGAGGGTTCAGTGCACAAGACGGACATTAGCGAGCCGAGCGACAGAAAGATAGAGATGGCGGATAAAATAGAATGTCATGAATAGGACACAGCAGCAGTTTTCTGTTGGGGATTTGTCGTGTCGTGCCACGCCACATCCAGAGTAGACCATAGATATGTATATATATCTATGGTGTAGACAGCATCACTGATTATAATGAGTTCCATAGTATTTTGTCATGCCGCGCCACTCGCGTCAACATTGGCTACCAGAAATCGCTTACCCCACCTTTAAGCTCAGAACTGCTTCGGACGAATCGTTTCGAAGTCATTGAAAAATTATTCTAATATTAAATGTATATTCTGAGAAAATTACAATGTTTTCTGACCTTAGATGCATTTAAACCTGTTGTAGGGGACTCCAACACAATATTAGGACACTTTTAAATATCGTATGACCTGCACTTTAACCCTATAAAGCCTTTTGTATCATATTTGATGCACAAATTTCTGAGGCTTAATAAACTGCAACATTCCATAAAAAAATAAGAATTGTCAATTTTGATTTCATGTGGTCTTCAAAGAAACAGAAACACCTCCAAACCTTACTAAACATTTGGAAAAATGTTGGAAATATTGAACCATTCTAGAATGTTTGAGATCTGCATAGAAGAAAAAAAACACTGCAAAATGACTTTTGAACTTGCAAAATGAATTGAAGTTGTGTTTTTATAGGCCACATTCCCACTGTTTTTGATCCATTCAACATGACTCTAAAATAAGAGGAGTTATGATTTTTAATGTGAATAATATTTATTAAAATATTACACAAAATTAGAAATATATTGTAATAATAATGTTCTACTGTAAAATAAAAATCAAGTGTATTTCATAAAGTATATTAATTTTATTTTATAGTACATCAGTGAAATTACAATTTATGTCTTATAAGTTCTTAATTTTCAATATGAAAATAGTTCATTTACATGTACAAAAAAACATGGTATTACCATTATACTTTTTGAAGTAAATGCAAATTAAGATGTATATCAATAGAATAATGCAGCACTAAAATCAACTACATAAACAGAAAAAGATACCACACATTTACGCCTTAACTGTGCAGCTGAACATTATGCTGTGAAAAAGAAGCATAGAGTATATTGTCTCATATAGGCAAACAAAAGAAATATAAAATATTCGCTTTGAAAGAACACCAAGAGCAGGTACCTCAAAGAGGTCCACCACGATTAATCAAGATCCACTCACTTGAACACACCTGGCTTCACTGCTAGCTTATTTTTTGTTATTTGTCAAGAAGCAGTTTGTTTAAATGACATTTGTGTGTGCAGTTCAGTTCATATTCCCCATGTCTTTGAATGAGTCGAGCGAATAAAGATGCAGTGGCTGTACATGAACACATCAGCCTTTTCCCTGTGCAGAGGGCTTGACACATTATTATGTGCAAAATCACAGTTGGAAGTCTTGCTTTTGGCTTTATGGCTCTGTCTGGTGTGCTGGATCAAATCCTGAGTCGTTCATAGGTGTGAAGGCTGTGTGTGTATGTGTGTGTGTATTTCAATGGGCAAGATGCAGGGTTTAGAGTAAATTGGTTGAAACAGGAAAACAGGACATGAAGTGATTGTTTTGTTTTTAATTTATTTAGACGCCTCCCGCTTTGCTGCGCATCCTGATCCAAGCAGAAGGACAACAGCTGATTTTATCTGTGGAAAAGAACCAGTGAGTCTCCCTCACAACACTCCAGACTCTCAAATCTCCACACACATGAGCAGACACACAGCGTTTTTACAAAACCACATGATCTATAAGATCAGGATCACTGAAAACTTCCAAATCCTGATCCTGTCTCATCAAAACAAAACACATAGAAGTAGCTTAAAAGGATAGTTCACCCAAAAATAAAAATTCTGTCATCATCATTTAATTACATCATTTACAATGTGAATATAGTGCATAAGTCCTATGAATCACTTTTATGATACATTCATGGTGCTTTTGTGTCCTTATTTTCATATGTACATATTGTCATATGAAGTAAAGACATGTATGAAATTTAAACATCTATTAGAAAATGGAAGGATTTCATGACATATATATCTAGCCCATATAAATATGTATGTTTACGTATGTATATTAATAATTTTTTTTACATATGAAGTGTCATATATCTAATTATTTATACGCATAAATGTATAATATGCCAGTCACACATAAATGTGTTATATTTTATTATATTATTATAATATATAATGCAGTTATATTTTAGATTTATTCATTATATATATATATATATATATATATATGATAAAACTTTGTTTAAAGAATGTTATAAGTAACACATAAAAGTAACATATGTACATATATAATATATACTTACATTATATACATACGTTATGTACATGTGTTAATATATGTAAATTTAAAAGATAGACGTATGTTAAAGTAATAAGAAATATATATGTGTGTTTATATATATATATATATATATATGTGTGTGTGTGTGTGTGTGTGTGTGTGTGTGTGTGTATGCTCACAGCATTTTTGTATATGTTTTCATAAACATGCATTTATAAATATTGTTCACACATATCCTCGCTATTCATACAAGTATGTACTGTACATAAATAAATTTTAGTTGGGGTATTTTAAGTATGTTAGAAAATTAAAACTTCATATATTACCAAGATATTGCTTTAACATATGTGGCGCTCTTAATATAGGGCAATGTATGTCATTTATTACATTTCTGTTTGGGAAAGAACAAAGCAGTAGAGAGACAGACTGAAAGAAAGAAAGGACAGACGAGCCAACAAAGAAACTCCAGGGATGTCTGATACAAACTGACCTTCTCTGTACATTAAGCTGAGTTCAACTCTTTCCCACAGCAAAAACATCACTCATCCAGATATATAAAAGCCCAACCCAGAGGACAGACACTGATTTCTCTAGAAGGACCATGAAGCTTTGTGTGTTCATCATCACAGTAATCATAACAGTCAAGACACTACCATACAAACATTTTTGCATGCTTATGCAGCTTCACAGTTTTTTATTATAAGCCTTTTTACAAAGAATTGTCAGATCTTGAAAGCTTTCCTACACATGCAAAGTGATTCACTGCATATTAATGACAGATGAACAAGTGGCAACACCTCGACAAATAAAACAGCAAGTGTGTATCTTTTCAAGCCACAATAAAACCGAGGATGTCGTTTATTCACTCTAGCTGCTTTGACAATGCATTTGATAAAAGAGCTTTGATAGTTCCCATCTTTCTCTGAATTTTGTCTAACCTCATCTTGAACTCATTTTTGATTAATTAATTTAATAATCATTGTTGTTTTACTCTATGGATTTCTCCTCCCTGTATTCTCTAAGCACGGATCAGCAATACAACACAGACCTAACAACAGCCTTGAATACTGTTTAACTCATAATGAACAGAGAAGCAATGCCGCCTTTGATTGCTCTTCCAAAGGATTTCCAAAATAAATGGCTTCGTGTGTGATGGTGATTGAGGCTTCAGAGCTGACTGTCAGAGACTTGAAGAGAACGCTGTAACACTGATAGACTCTAATCAGCAGCTGCCCAGTGAAGCTGCAGCTTTGCGCCACTTAATTTGTTGAATTCTTTTAAGGGCCATGTTCCTCTCAAGACTGAGTGAAAACACTTACCATAAAGTCTGTAACAAAAAGCCAGACAACATGAGAGCATGTGTATGATGTTTTTAGGCTTCCATAATTTAGCGTCATTTGGGAAATTAACTTGAAACTATAGCAAGCTACTCGTAATTTAAAGACGTTAGAATTATTCTTTTCAAAAACATAGCACTACAAGTTACAAAACATAGCTTGGTTCAGTACATTACATTTAGCTTAAAATGTACTCACCTTCATTGCCATCCAAGATGTAGAGTTTTCTTCTTCATCAGAACAGATTTGGAGAAATTTAACATTACATCATTTGTTCACCAATAGATCCTCTGCAGTGAATGGGTGCCATCAGAATGAGAGTCCAAACAGCTGATAAAAACATCACAACAATCCACACGATTCCAGTCCATCAGTTAATGTCTTGTGAAGTGAAAAACTGTGTGTTTGTAAGACAGAAATCATTATTTAGATATTTTTAACTTGTATTCATTTGTATTTTAAATATGAGTCCTCTATCCATAATATTGCTTTGAAATATGTCAGTGGATTTTGATGTAAGAGGACAATAAGGGATGAACTTTTTCACTGGAGGAAGTATCATTATGGATTATGGAATCATATTTTGACCAGAAATTATGGTTTAAAGTTAAAATGCCTTAATGATGGATTTTTTTCTTATAAACATGCAGCTTTTCACTTCACAAGACATTAATTAATGGACTTGAGTTGTGTGGATTACTTGTGGATTATTGTGATATTTTTATCAGCTGGACTCTCATTCTGACGGCACCCATTCACTGCAGAGGATCCATTGGTGAACAATTGATATAATGCTAAGGTTTTACAAATCTAACTCATAATGAACAGAGAAGCAATGCCGCCTTTGATTGCTCTTCCAAAGGATTTCCAAAATAAATGGCTTCGTGTGTGATGGTGATTGAGGCTTCAGAGCTGACTGTCAGAGACTTGAAGAGAACGCTGTAACACTGATAGACTCTAATCAGCAGCTGCCCAGTGAAGCTGCAGCTTTGCGCCACTTAATTTGTTGAATTCTTTTAAGGGCCATGTTCCTCTCAAGACTGAGTGAAAACACTTACCATAAAGTCTGTAACAAAAAGCCAGACAACATGAGAGCATGTGTATGATGTTTTTAGGCTTCCATAATTTAGCGTCATTTGGGAAATTAACTTGAAACTATAGCAAGCTACTCGTAATTTAAAGACGTTAGAATTATTCTTTTCAAAAACATAGCACTACAAGTTACAAAACATAGCTTGGTTCAGTACATTACATTTAGCTTAAAATGTACTCACCTTCATTGCCATCCAAGATGTAGAGTTTTCTTCTTCATCAGAACAGATTTGGAGAAATTTAACATTACATCATTTGTTCACCAATAGATCCTCTGCAGTGAATGGGTGCCATCAGAATGAGAGTCCAAACAGCTGATAAAAACATCACAACAATCCACACGATTCCAGTCCATCAGTTAATGTCTTGTGAAGTGAAAAACTGTGTGTTTGTAAGACAGAAATCATTATTTAGATATTTTTAACTTGTATTCATTTGTATTTTAAATATGAGTCCTCTATCCATAATATTGCTTTGAAATATGTCAGTGGATTTTGATGTAAGAGGACAATAAGGGATGAACTTTTTCACTGGAGGAAGTATCATTATGGATTATGGAATCATATTTTGACCAGAAATTATGGTTTAAAGTTAAAATGCCTTAATGATGGATTTTTTTCTTATAAACATGCAGCTTTTCACTTCACAAGACATTAATTAATGGACTTGAGTTGTGTGGATTACTTGTGGATTATTGTGATATTTTTATCAGCTGGACTCTCATTCTGACGGCACCCATTCACTGCAGAGGATCCATTGGTGAACAATTGATATAATGCTAAGGTTTTACAAATCGGTTCTTATTCTCATCTACATCTTGGATGGCCTGAGGGTGAGTAAATGAGTTTGTAGTGCAATTAATGTATACCTCTAATGGATTTTGGATGGATGGACACCTAGTGAAGGCTTGAACGTGAATTTACACTAAATACAACTGATAAAATTGTTGGCTTTGCGGTCAGTCCACATTCCAATGTGCTCCTTTTGGTTCATGAGTGTCTTGCGTCTTTTCCCAGTCCCCTTTTTTCACCAATAAAATGGCAAATGGCAGTATTTAACACTATACAAAACTGAAAGATGTACAATGCTGCACAGTGACTGGAAAAACACTGTATGTCATGAAAGGATAAATTACATTTTGGAGCTGGTTCATTGAAATGCATTGTCCGAAACAAACTAATTCGCTAAAATTAATTGGTCTTCCCAGTGGTACTTGAGAGAGAGCGAGACACACTTTCTGAGAGAGTACGTTTGATTATTGCCGCTGCTCGCTCTGTTGTAAGGCTGCATGAGCAATATGTGACATAAAAAAACAACAATATAGTGCTTGTAAACATAGCTTGTTACTGGAAAAGCTGCACTATTTTGATGAGCTACTGTCACACTACTGAAAAATTTAGCTCATAGCATCCCTACTTTCAGTTAGGTGTCAGTCACTTTTTTTCATTTGTAGGTTTTACCGAAGTGTTCTGCCTCTTTTAGACTGTACATTTTGATAATGAAGTTAAGAGTCAAATCCCGGACACCGAATTGATCAAAGTCAACAGGACGTTGAATGAAGGAAGATTGTAGGAAGATTTAGAGCTTATTCTGGTCGACACAAACAGCTGTTACTGAGGAAGAGACAGAGCGTGTGTCATTGAAAGGCTTCCTTTTATTCAGCCAAAGAGGAAAGAGCTTAGCCAAGCTCACAAAACATGTCATTACTGTGAAGACTGCTAACATTACCATAGAAACTTGGACTCAGTGCCCATGAGTGGCCAGGGAAGAGGGTTCTTGTTTGTGTGAGAATGACATCATTGACTCTCTGCTCTGATGTTAGGTGTCAAGCTGAAGTAAAACTAATGAACTGAGTCCAGGAGAAAGAGAGATACACTATTACCAGAGGACTATTAGACTGGCCCTGTGATTCTGCTTGGTAGCAAGGTGAGGATA